ACGTTTTAGGATCAATATTGAAATCAGAAAACTACCTTATATCTGTACATGCGTTCTTTAAGGAATCATCTCCAAAAAGTGAATACGAGAAGATGTGATGTTGATCGAATACTTATATCTATTAAGCAATTTAACTTTAATACTTGGTAGTGTAAAAGAAGAAAATATGTTTTCCTTATATTGACATAAAAACAATAGTTTGAATACACATTTATTCTAACATGATGAATGTCGATAGTAACAAGTGCAAGAAGGAAATACTATTCAAACTTACCTCTGTTAACAACGTTACAATAGTTTTGCTTTGAATATATGAAATTGTGTGTAACGATATGTACGACGCGCAGATGGTATTTATACATGTTAGAGCGCTGCATAGGATGGAAATTTCCCATAGCAAGGGATAAAATAAGACGTAAATATGTTGATGTCTGGTAGCATAAGATAATTGTTTCTTACTTCTGTTTCATCCTATGCCATAGGACATCTATCAAAATATTCAAGTTCTATCCGATTCTGTTCGCCTCATCAGATAACCAGCCAGATATAGAAACATATTTCTATAAGAAAAAATGTAAATATTTTTTGTTGTATAGATTGTATCTTTTTTCTAATGCAATGGAGTTAGTGGAAATAATATTTTCTTCTATTTTTTACATAGCTATCAATGATGGGATTGGTTCGTGTTTTTTTGAAACCGAACCGAATCGAACTGAAAATGTGTCAAACCAAACCGAGCCAAACCGATCGAATTTTTAAAAACTTCGAACCGAACCGAATCGAACCGATTCAAAAATGAAAGAAATAAAGAAGTTTAAAAAGCTTCTATTTGTTTTTCAGACTATTCCTATAAAAACTTTTATTGAAGGCCTGCTTAAAACGTCATTAATAATTACAAAAATGAACTAGAAATTTGACGCAGAAATGTTAAGAATATGGTATTGTCGCTTTCAGAATAAAAGAAATTATCAATTATAGATGACTAATTTCTTTTCAGTGATTAGTTATTTTTCCTGCTAATCAGGAGCCATTGAAGGTACTTTTTGTTATCGTTCAGTACAAGTCTATAGGAATTATATTTTATATCTTATACTCATTGTAATAGCAAAACATTAGGTAATAGTTGACAATCATAGTTTGATACATTTTAAAACCCATATTTACTCTCAACTTACAAGGCTTATATGACAAAGAGAATCTAAAATTGATAGAATAATCAACCTATGATGTCAAAATCGACAATGTCAATGAAAATTTTTCAGCTTTGCTAATCGATCTATTTTGAAATTTCATTTAGATGACACTTTCTCAACTCAAATATTCATTGTAATATTTTTCTTTTAAATGCTAAAATGAAAGAAACGTTTTCATCGTCAGCTAACGAGGGAGGACCCCCAACTTGAAAATCGCTTTCGAACTGAGACTAAGTGGACAATAGGTAATCGAGGGTGCTGAAACCGAATATCACAACCGTTTGGGCTAACGTATGGGTTTTGAGCCAATTTTTTGGAAAACCAGATCTTCAGGCTCAAAACCTTTTTGCGACAAAACAACTTTTTTCATGTGTCCATATGAAAGAGCATAGCGCAAAACCTATAGAAAGCTACTTTTCAAGGCGACTAGAGGGTTTTTCAGCTTGGTTTTTAGGTAAAAAAACGAAATACCGAGGACAAAAGTTCTTTTGAAATTCAAAGTTTTTCGCCGTTTTCCCTTAAAATTGTTTAATAAAAAATTTTTTCCTGTTTGTTCTAGATGATTGCTCGTATTGAAGCGTAAACTTTTTGCTATTACCAAAGTTTTTAAAGTTACACAATTGAAATTGAACATATGGTAATTGTTCAGGTGCAGTTCAAGGACACCCGCAAGTGTTGGAAAGATCCGTACGTCATATGCTGGATTCTCCCAAAATGAAATAGTGGGTTTCTTCCCAGCGTGTTATTACATGTTCTATGTTGGTATTTTCCCAACATATTCATATACGCCGTACTTGGTTTTTTCCAGCATGCTTATAAATATATGTCCTTGCTTTTCTTCTTTCTCGTTCACGATCACATCCACTACTTCGCTAGTTTTCTTGATAGTTCTTTTCCTCTTCCTCTTCTTTCTATTGTTTTCGCTCCTATCTATATCGTGTTGTTAGCGTCAACAGGTATTACGTAGTTGCCGCTAATTATTCTCATTATTTTCCTTCTCCTTTGCGTAACCTATGTGAGGTTCGATATTTCCTGGGCATATGTATATATGTCCATATTATTATTATTATTATTGTTATTTCTCTTTTTTTTTCTTTCCTTTTTCTCTCTCCCTTTCTCTCTCTCATCCAGTTATATGAACGAGTATGCCCCATCAGTTCAGTTGTGTATTTTGTGTTATCTGGGTGACACGTTTTCCTTGAATAAAATTCATATTCATCATCTGAACCAATACTATCTTCTATATTAGATCAACCTACAAGACAAGGTAGGATTACTAACACTACTAACCCAGCTAATACAGATCATAGTTTTCTATTGATTCATTCCGGCCTACTAACATTTAGTGGGTAGGAGATTAAGATGAAAGAGAAAGCTAACACGTGTCACGTGTAGTACGAATAAATCGAACTCACCCACACAAACACAGAATTTGTAGTAATTAGCTGGTAAGTGCGTTTTTTGTCGATTTCGCCTATCCATAACGCATAATTATTGTAACGAAAAATGGTGAAATGCAGCTCTACCACTGGTTGGGCATTGATGTTAATGAGCTACTAGTGCATTCCACTATCGTTAATGACAAATGGAGAGGCATATTTATGTCTTTGATCCCATAGTGATGGGCATGATGTTTATTCGACTATGCTCTACATCCAAATGTAACTGCACTAAAATGTGCACTACATCCAAATGTGCCTACATCCAAATGTAACAATCTAATACACAACATGAGCTTATATAGGAGAGGGATGGAAAAGAGGAGAGAGAATAAATGATACAATACAAAAAGGAGAAAGGAAAGAGGAAAGATATAATGGAATATTACGCATTATAAGATTAGTTAACGGTTGTTGTAGAAAGGACATCCATCTTCTTATGTCACCCTTGATGATCCAGTGGTATTGAGAAGATATGTTAGTGCCGTATGACGTAATAACCATTAGCATAATTAGCAAAGATGATGTGCTTCTTGGCACATCATACCATCATATCGTTTACATATGAATGACACGTTTGTATTTATGAGTAGAATAGGAAATGATGCGAAGACAGATGATGAGGTCAAAGATACAACAATGTACGAATGAACAAGTAATGATGCCAAGGAGAGAACAGATATATATTATTGAATGAGAAGCGCATTACGACAGACAGGAACAACGTTCAATCATAAAGAGATAAACGTAAGAGTAACGCGATTAAGAACGCAACATATCATTGCTTTTACAAGAGCACACTGAGCAAGAGAAAATATCATATAAGATAATATGCCTATTGGCACAGATGTGTTTTTAGGGTGTGGGAGTTAGTGTGGGTTGGGTATGGGTGTGAGTATCAGTGTGGGCGTAGGTTTTACTGTTAGCGGTGATTCATCGACATCCTTCCTCGATATCTTTCTACCTCTTTTCTTTCTTTCTATTTACTGTTATCATTGTTTCTTTTCTTCTCTATTCTTTTCTCTATTGTGTTGTGTGATCTATATATATGTATAATATGTTAAAGACATTTTAGAAAAGAATTAAATAAATAAAAGAAACGTAAGCTCGTCGTTTACGAGCTAACAGTTACTATTATCAGTCACACCCATCCCGATATCCATCGACACCCACACACCCACACCCACACCTACACCCACACCCACACCCCCACCCCCACCCCCACACCCACATCTACACCCACACCCACACCCACACCCACACCCACACATCTACACCCACACTCACACCCTCACACTCCACACCCTCACACCCCACACCCACACCCTCACACTCCACACCCTCACACCCCACACCCACACCCACCCACACCCACACCCTACGACGATGAAACACTTGCTATAACAATAAAACATAAATCTACAGAAACACTAAAAATAGAACTCCTATCATCAACAACACTTGATCGACTTTGGTCACTTCCACTTGACATATCGCATAATTTTGGACGAATAAATCGTGTTTGTTTGCTCAAATACGATGAATGGCTTGTAATCGATCACAATACTTCGAGTCTTTTTCATATTAGTAAAGATGGAAAACTAAAAGTTACACAAAAATACGCTGATCCAACATCTTACAATGCTGTTTTATTCGGTTCAAATATATTGGCTATTAGAACAACGAATTATGTCAATTTTTACAGAGTATAAATTTATATAACTGCTTTATCTTCAAACAAAATAGATGTAGACTGCTGTGTTTTCTTTTCACTGATTAATAAAAATATCTCTTGATTATGAATTCAAATCTTGATATCAAAGAAAATATTATTATTATGCCCGAAAAATTTCTCATATATAATATCAATTGAAAACAAAAATGATGGTCTTTAACATGTTCTGAGAAATGTCTCTTTTTTTTAACAACATATGAAATAGATCCAAATATTTTTCAATTTTATCTTTTTTCTTCATTTTATTTTATTAAACGATGGAGATTATCTGATACATGTAAACAACATGAATCTATTTATCATATGAATTATAATAATGAAACACTTTTGCGTTTGTCTTGTATGGTGAGAAAAATAATTCACTTTTGACGAAATGCCCTGTCGACGAAAAACATAGGATTCTTACAAATGCTACTACAAACTAATAGATGACATTGAAAAGTACAAACACTATCTTATTCAACTAATTTCCACTTTCTAGCTTCCTTTATCAACTTAAAAATTTTATATTTATATTGGAAAATATATTAATTCAAATAAATCAAACAAAAGTATAATGAGAGAAATGAAGTGTCTTACTACGTAGTAGTATTTGTGTATTGACAAAATACATTTATTAAGCAATACTAAAGCTCACAATGAACTATGAATAGCACCGGGTGATGGCAATGTTTTTTTAGTGTCACTGGTGCTAGTAATATAAACTGGTAATAATTGAAATGGATTCTTAGTAGTTCTTTTTGGACCTACAAACCAATGACGAGCAGAAACAATCCAATAGACTGTTGCAAATACTGCTATGCCACCGACGATTACCACAGCATAGTTCATATTATCCTTTGTAACTGGATATTCTGCTGGAAAGAACATGATTATTGATGTGATAAAAAGCCAAATAGATGTGATGATAGCGACTGGTAGACCAAAGCGACCTAAGTTGAATTCGCGGGGTACGAAAGTACGTCTCGCTGCTGTACATCGAAAAAAAATAGGTATGAAATACGATATTTGAAAGCCGAGTGCAGTAATGGCAATCATATTAGTGAAAGCAGTCGTTGATGCTAATTGAAGTAGAAGAAGAAGAGAATCGAGGATGAAAACAAAAAACACATTAGCTATTGGAGTTTTTGTGGGCTTGAATATCCATCGGAGATAAATTGAAAATGGAAACACACCATCACGAGCCATGGCAAATCTAGAACAAATGATATATATATATATTCGACTAACAAGAACAACACATATCTGAATAGCTAATTCATACCCGATTCGACTAGTTGTTGTGATTGCTGACATACCAGCAAAGTACATATTGATAATGAGCAGAATTGTTAGTGCAAGTGCACCTCGAAGAGGTACAGCAAGTCTATAGGTAGCAACAGCCAAATCTTCCGTTCCGTTGATACCACTGTTATTCTCGACAAATGAGGTCACATTTGGAATGGCAAAGAGTAGAGCAAGCAAATAAACAGTACCGGTAATAGCACTGCAAACACAAGTTCCCACAATTCCTAAGGGAGCTGGAAAACAAGATGAATTATTCGATTTGTTCACTATCATTTCAAGTGATCGTTTTCTTTCGAAGGTGTGTACTTACCTGCACGGCCAGCATCTCTAGTTTCTTCAGCCATATGAGCACCAGCTTGAATCATTCAATGATAAAATAAATACATACTCAAAATCACAACGATTACCTTCGTAGCCAGAGAATGAGAATAGTGTTGAAAGAATACCAATGAAGCACACATATGGAAATGGAAATCCTGTACTATTGTATGTAGATGTGAATACATTATGAGCTGTAGCTCGTTCAGGAGCCATAACAAGAAGAACGATAACAATAACAATTGTCGAACCAAATTGCAAAAAAGCAGCAAAATTATTGAGCCAACCTTGTTGGTCGATGCGCAATGCATTCTGAACAGCCCATAGGAAAGTAATTCCTATACCAATGCCCACTTGGGTACGTGTATTCAGTGAATCGTACCCTTGAAGAACAATGGCAGCATTGATAAGCGTAGCAAAGCCGGATGAGAATGCAGCATTGCCTTCAACATATTTACAATGAGAAATATATTTCAGTAAATTCATATGTAGGCAACTCCTTTTTGGCAAAAGAGCTTTCTTTTCGACTGTTTTTCTTGCTAGCTAAGTGAAAACTGACAACAAAACATCTTTGGACAGAAAAAGATGTGGATTTTAATGTGCAACCGTGGGAGATGTACATCTCCGTATTCTCATGGACGTTCAGCCGGAAAAGCAGGACGATATTTGAAATTTGTAAATGTAACGCTTACTGTTGAACTTTTTACGCTGATCATTGTGACAGAAAACATTTCTGTTCTCATCGAAAACTATGGATGCTAGAGTTAGAATACCGAGAAAATGCTTAACTTCATCCTTCCCAATATTCGATATTTTCCTTCGATTCCTACTATGAAAAGTATTTCGTTCGTCAGAAGTACTCACAGTATATGTTCATAAGAAAAATTTTGAAGTGCATTTCTTAGGCTCAAATTATCGATTCTATTGCAAACGATCTATTTATTGATGAATATTATGCAAAATCTCCATTGTTACTACTTTTCGTAATGTATTCATCGAAGCAATGTTCGCATGATTAAGTTTTCCTACAGACTACAAGAGTTCTGACGGCATTGACGACTGAATATTTATTAGCTGAATAATGAACAACACAAAAAAAACACGATTTAAATACAATTTTTTTTCATTTGACAAAAGTATATCATCGCTAATGTAGACTTTTTGAGTGAACTACTTTGTGACTGTTCTAGTAAAGATTTTTATTCAAGGAAAGTTTTTTCGCAACTTTTCGTCAGATCTGTATAACTTAGAGACATTTTTATGAGGAAAATTTACTCTTAAATAGATTTTTTTCTCGCAAAATGTTTCAAGAACATATTCTTATAAATGTCAAAAAAAAAAATAACCAATTGTTAAGATACAATACTCACAGTAGTAAATACAGAAAATTCACTTCAAAAGGTCCTGTCTGGTTCAACTAGATATCTCAAATTATACATCCATGTCCGCATCTTTTCTGATCATTTTCCACTGAGTTACTTAGTACAAAGCAGTCGAAAAGAAAAGTTCTTCGCAAGAGTAGTTGCATATCTATTGACAATTCGTTTATTTTCCTACCTGCAAAGTTCCCAATGAAATTGATCCAACCACAAATAAACGATGTCAATGGCGCATGCTTAGCAGAAACTAATTGACCTGCCCTAGAAGAGAAGAAACATACTTCTACCATCAGGTGACAGATAGCAATTTTAATCAACATACCAATGATATACAGAACCAGCACTTGGATATACAGAACATATTTCAGCTAAGGAGAGTCCGGTGAGAATAGTAAATATAGATCCAATAATCCATGACCAAATAGTGACACCTGATCCACCAGTGTTCAATGAATAGGTGAATCCAATTGAAATCGATAGAAGAACATTGACATCAGTGAAACAGAAGGCAAATGCCATGAATGGCGAAAATCCACGATAGAGCTCTTGCTTGTAGCCCATTTCCCGAAGAAGACGTGTATCGGAATCTTCGACTTCTTGTGTCATTTCTGTTTTCGTATCTTAGAACAGAATAAATGCTAGGCTAGTATTAGACATACTATGTCTTGAAATCTGAATTTTATAAATTGCTTGGAAGTGTTCGAGTTTTGGATTTAGCATTTTTCAAAATTATTTTGGGCTTACATGCAAAGAAATCCGCTTTTCCTTCTTGATACATATCCTGTTCTGTTTTAATTCTCTTGTAACATCAAATTTTTATTCGAAACAAGAACTCAAGCATTTGAAGTTCTCATAACAAAAATTCAGTTAGAATGTCAGTCATTTAATCGAGAATGATTGATTTTCTATAGAAGTAATGCTGTCTTAATAATCTATCAACACTGAGCAAAAATATACATGAAAAAAAAATACTTAGGGTATACCAAAAGTTCGTAGAGTGATACCTTAATACCTTATGATAAGCTTTAAGTAACTTTATTCTATACAGTCTGATAGAGAAAAAAACGATCTATCTTTCTATGCTATTTGATCGTACTTCAACTAATATAATAATATTAAATTATCTATAAAACCTAATTCGGTTGGTTATGTGCTGGTTGTATGAATGCTAGTGAGTATTTTTTGAATAACTTTCGATAGAAATAAGATAGAGAAGTGCGGTTTTCACCGTTAGAAAGAGGAGATGAAGATGCATCAAATCACATATTACAGGTCTTTCTAATATTGATTTCTCAAGTATTTTAATTCAATTTGGTAACTGTCGGAAAAATGTTTTTTTTTATGAAAAAACGGATAAAGCACAATAGTTAGCTTTTTCCATAGAGTTTGCTACAAAATCATATTAGAGTTCGACTAGAATGCATATTATTCATCTTAGCCTTCCGCACTTTGTAGATCTTCGATTAGTGCTTTGAATTTATAATTGACAATTGAAAACTCACTGTCAATAACTTGCTAGATAAGTTTGTTCCTAAAAAGGTCAATTGAAAATCCTACAAAAAACAGATTAGAAAAATCTGAAATAAACGATTCGATGCGTCTTCATCTTCTCTTTCTAATGGTGAAAATCGCACTTCTCTATCTTACTTCTATCAAAAGTTATTCAAAAAATACTCACTCATATTCTTTTAGAAAGAGTATTAATACAATCAGCACATAACTAGCCGAAATGAGTTTTATAGATAATTTAATATTATTATATTAGCTGAAGTACGATTAAATAGCATAGAAAGATAGAGCTTTTTTTTCTCTGTCAGACTATATAGAAAGAAAGTTCCTTAAAGCTTATCATAAGGTATTAAGGTATCACTCTACGAACTTTTGGTATGCCCTAAGTAGTTAACAGTTTTTGTTGATTACCATGGTAGCTCATGATCATCTTTCCATGATTTTTACAAACGCAAAAATGCAGTTGCATGATTCTTCACCGACAAATGTGGATATCAATATCACGGGATATATCAAGTTAGAACAAAATTAGGAAATAGATTTTACTCAACTTATGCCTTACGAGTCGCAATAGATCAAAAATATGTGAAGAGAACGTTTCGGTAAGCATGCAATCAATCATAGACACCATTTACCTTCACTCGATGAAACTGCTTGCATCATTGACGATTGTTGAAGCCTTAATTTAGCTTTCAATTATTCCTAAAATGAAAGATAGAAATTGTAAATCGATAAATACAGATTGTATAAATAAGTCTCGTTTGAAATTTTTCTTAACAACATGGTCTTACACCATTTCAATTTTATGTAAATATGTACATCACAACCATTCGCTTACTTTCATTATCAATAATAAAACGTGTACAAGTGAGGCAATCATCTTTTGACAAGAAGAGAACGACAATATTTACCTTCTAGATAAAAAAGCTTTCAGTCTGATCCGAGCAGAATTAAAATATAAAACACGACGAAGCCGATTACAATGTGCATGAAGACCCTCGCTGTATTGATAATGATTCATGAGAAGATAAAAGGAACAGCATATCGAAAATGTCTACCACAGTATATAAGGAGGAGCCTAGGAAATAGCTCACCTCTCTCGCTATATAACGGGTGACCTATAATAAATGGCCGCCCTTTGAATTTTATTGTTTTTGTTTCTAATTACATTGTGTTAAAAAAAAACAAATATACCGCAACATACAGGGTGAGAAGCTATACAATTTACAAAGTAAAGCTGGTTTTAATTGTATACTCCTTGAGTACTTTGAATACGGTCATCGTATACACGAGTACAGTGGTTGCACTATACAGTTACAACTCGATTGTAGGAAGATGAAAATGATTTTAATATTTAGTTGCAAGTGAAAATCACAGCGCATGTTTGCATAGTATTTGCATTTTTGATTGCTTTTTATTTTGTTTCTGAATATTTTAACTACAAGTGATGAAAAATGTGTTTCAAAGATCCCTGCTAAGAACTTATATATGTCATTAAAAAAATATTAAGATAAAGCAAAATTTTAATGATTCTTATACGAATTAGTGCAGTTTAGTGAGCTCTTTCTAATAATGTATAAATAGTATAAAATCATCAAAAAGAAGAATGTTGTTCAACAAATGCTATGGAAAGATAGACTCTTGAAACATGGGTAAATGTGGAGATTTCGACATGATCTTAAATTGTTCAGAATGATATACAAAACTTTGATTTTCATATAAACGCTAAATCGATGGTTTAACATAGTTTTAGATATGTTTTAGTTGAATATTTATATTCAACCGATTTACGTTCTTACATGCCCCATCCTTTGATCGATCATATTCAGTAATACACTGACTGTGAATATTAAAATGATTATAGTTTTACGAAGTAATCGAAATTCAAAGTTGGAACCTGGCTACAAATGTCCTTCTCCAACGTTATTCACAATCAAAAAGAAAAAGAATGAGTGCCATATTTTTGATCTGGTGAATTTCATAACATTTCTAATACAATTGTAATTTGGGATGAGAATGTGAGGGTGTGGGTGGGGTTGATCATAATAGAAAAGTTCATTTTCAAGTCAGCGAAATACTATTACTTTTATCTATCTCTATTAATCGTTTTTTTTAAGCATCGGTATGCGTCTGCTTTTGTTCGACCAATGATTGATAATACAACAAATGACTGGTTTGCTCTTCAGGGTCGCGAAGCTAATGGATGAACAGCTATATTAGATTCAAACGTTTGCTTGATACATGTGATTCAATGGATTATCCGATTAAAGTTCAACTTCACTTTCAAAATATTTAAAATGCATTTTATTCTTAAAGGAAAATAAAATCTTTTCGATTTTACTATCAAAAGTCAATTATATTTCAAAAATTCACATAAAGAAAACCGAAGTGTTGATAATTTGAAAGAGATAAATAAAGAAGAATTTTATTTATTTAATAATAGGGTGGAACAAATATATTGATCTATGCATATGGTCTTACCGATCCTGATCAATCTGAAATAAGTTATCATGACAGTCGTCGAGTTACACATATGACTCCACTTCGATCTTATAATCAACCACCAAAGGAGCCAGCACAGAATGAAAAGGACAACGAATACACATAAAAATGAATCTGTTAGAGCTATTCTGTAATAAAACTGAATCGGGCTGAATGTGTTAATAATGTTTACTTTGTCTATATAAATAGACCTAAATTATTTATTCTTAACGATTTTAATCTCAATATCAAAGTTGGTATATAAATTTTTTCTACTGTTTTATTTTTAACATTTTCAATCTTTTATAGGTCAAAAAAGTAGCACTCGTTGGTATATGTCTAATGGATTCATTTTTTGACTATATGAAAATCTCGTTTCTTTTTATTAAGGTACATCTGATTCTGGAAAATCGACAATTATTCAATTAATTGAACGATTCTATGATCCAACTGTTGGTCGATTGGTAAAAAAATATTTTCTTTTCTTATCTTATTATTTCTATTTACTTTTTCTAGTTAATTGATTCAAAAGATATTCGAAATCTTAATCTTCAATGGTATCGTTCGCAAAGTTAGTTAATTAAATATTTATTTCTAAATTTGAATTTGTTTCTATATTAATTAGTTGCTATTGTTTCACAAGAACCAATACTTTTTGATATATCAATTCGTGAAAATATTGCTTATGGTGATTATAGTCGAATAAATATTCCATCAGATGAAATTATTCAAGTAGCTAAATAAGCAAATAATCATGATTTTATTCAACTTCTTCCCAATGTATGTTATTGAATTTTTTTTTCTGTTAAGAAATAAATAACCCTCCGTAACTATTGCTCGAGGATTAATACGAAATCCAAAGTTTATATTACTTGATGAAGGTAAAAATAAATGATAGAAATTAATAGTCAAAGTACGTGCATTTTTTTTTAGCAACAAGTGCTTTGGATAGTGAAAATGAAAAATTGTTCAAGAAGCATTAGATCGTGGCCAAGAAAATCGAATATCAGTAACAATTGCACATCGTCTATCAACTATTTTAAATTCCGATTTGATTTGTGTTATACATAACGGAAGAATTGTTGAATATGGAACTCATAAAGAGTTAATTGTACTTAATGGTCATTATTATCGATTAGCATAGGAAAAACTCAAATAGAATTAAAAAAAGACATTTGTTTGTTTTTTTCTAAAGTTTTGAATTAAAAATAAAAGATATTATTTAACAATCTTGAAATTCATAAGACATTCAATTAGATATAATTATGATATGAAATCTGAATAAAAATCTCTCGTTTGATTTTAAGAAGTAGAGGTTCTCTTAGTATTGTAGATTAGTGCCAACATTCGAAACTGACTTGTGGTTGGTTGAAATTGTTATCAAATACACGTATACAAAAGATAACAGAATACTTATTGATTTTTTCTCATTCTTTTTCGTCAAACAGTTAATATGACACAACCAGTTTCACCACTTCCAACTATTACTCCATCCATTGACCAACCTCTTGGTGATATTGTTGCAAATTGGACATCTCGTCCTCATCCTCTTGATAATCCATTGTATCATACAATTAAAGGTCAATATTGTCGATTAGAATTACTTAATTCAAAAACTAATTCAAATATAATTCAACAACTCTATGATGCATTCAAACCAACTGAACAAACTCATTTTACTTATTTGCCATATGGACCATTTCAAACATTGGATGAATTCAAAGAATTTATATATTCAAATGAATTACCTAGTAGTAATATTGTAATGTATAGTATACTAGTAAATGAGGTTGCTGTTGGATATCTATGCTTCGTAAGAATTGATCAACAAAATGGTACAATTGAAATAGGAGGCATAAATTTCAGTCAACATTTAGTACGAACAAGACAAGGCACTGAATCAATTTTTTTATTATTAGAATATGCATTTGATATACTTGGTTATAAACGTGTACAATGGTCATGTAATGCATTGAATAGTAAATCAAGACAAGCAGCATTACGATTAGGTTTTCAATATGAAGGTACATGGTTAAAAACATTCATATATAAAGGTCGATCAAGAGATAATGCATGGTTTAGTATTGTTGATGATGAATGGCCAGTAGTAAAAAAAGAATTACAAAGATGGTTAAATCCAGAAAATTTTGATATTAATGGACAACAATTGACTAAATTAAATGCAGCACAAGTTAATCCACGTCAAGACAAAGTTATAGATATGAAATAAAATGAAATATCATTATTTTAATAATTTGATTAATACTTTTGCTTTATTAATTATATATTTTATCAAAATGAGTTTTTTTTATTGTGATTAATTGCTATAATACATAATTGTGTTAGAATAAAAGTTAGATTTCTTTATATTATATAATTCAAAGTGATTTGAAAGATTAATAGCGTAATGTATAGATATTCCTATGACACAGTCTGTTATAATAATCATTAGAAAATACTTCATCTCAAATGTTAGATTTAAATTATTTTAGTAGAAAAATGATAATTCTTGATGATTCTTTCCGAAGAAATATAAACTTTTTTGATTTTCTCTTCAAACAAATTAAGGAGTTTATTTCGTTATCAAATTAATATTCGATTATAATACTTAATACACATATATTTATTTTTCTTAAGAATATATCTAATCTAAAAAACGAAGTTGCATAATAATTTTCATTCTTTGTTTAACAGTCCTCAACATGAGATTGTATACATATTAATTTTTATTGATTTCATTTTAGTTCATCTATTTACAATTTTGACAAGTATCATCAACAAATAATAGTTTTTGGTTATTTCTATATAATATGAATATAAATATATATTGTGGTCAAGTAAATAATTACTGTTAACCTGTTATTATGATAACGAAATTGAATACATAAAGGCAAAGAAATACAAATCATTCCGAATATACTGTTTGACTTAGAAAAAGCTTTAATTTACAATAGATTCATTATGATTTGCTAGAAAAACGTATTTAAAAAAAATCTCTAATAGTGTTACAGAGAATTTGATAACATTAAATAATATATAGGTCGTTTATCTCTTCCTTGTGGTTTTGTTATTTGGTGTGGGTGTGGATGGGTGTGGATGGGTGTGGGTGTGGGGTGTGGGTGTGGGTTTGGGTGAGGGTGTGGCTGTGGTAGTTGTTTTAATCCACATCCACACACCCACACCCACATCCACACCCATATTTAAAAAATTTCATAACGATTTTAAAAAAAAGATCGTAATTCAAAGCAAAAGCAACAACTCAATCCATTGAAAATGCTTAAAAATCATTTGCAATCTCGAGTTTCTAAAATATTTTTCCATAAAGCAATATGATCAATTGACCTTGAAAAATAGCTCATGCCAGTATTTGATCAATCAGATAATGATCAGCCAATTCTTCCAAGAAACTGACATATGATTATATAGATCCATTTCGAGTCATCAAATTGTCATGTTTACAACTTCAGTCTAATTTTCGTTTTGTTATTTGTACAATTTCATTTCATACGTTAACAATCATCCGCTAGTTGTAATCAAGAATTAATGATGAGACAACTATTCTTTGTATTCAATCTTAGTTTTTCAATTGCTTATTTGTAGTCGTAATCGAAAAAGTTCCCTTAAAATCGAATCTCAAGGTTCAAAGATCAAATGTGTTTTTTACAAGAAGAAAACAGCGAACTTTTGTATCTGAAGTTACTTCAAGTTTTACCTACTTAAAGATTATTTTCAAGTACTTCAAGTTCACTTTTAGGTAGTTCGCATCTACGTTCAGCTACTTGAGAACTACTTTACTGAAAAACAAAGATACCATACAGAACTTAAAAAAAGGTTTCGAATTTTGTAACAAAATGGAAGTCTTTTTAAAGTTTCGTAAAAAGAATGTTTTGTAGTCAATATTTCAATGGCATTCAAAAGGTATACTATTGGATCTCTTTCTAAATCACTACGTTCTTCTACGTTGTAAAAGAATTGCGTACCTAAGAAATCCAGAGAGTAGTTCCGAGATCTCGCAAACCAATAGAAGATTTCCAAGCTCACGACAGTATCAGCGAATGAGAGACGACTGTTGTCCAGCAAATGAACGCATTTCGACATCAGGTCTGAACTCCTCGCACCAATACAACACCGGTTTCTTTATATCATGTCCGATAAAATAAGAGTTGCCATTTCAATACAGTGAAATCCAATCTAAAAAGAAAGAAACGGATAATTATTTCTTATTCGAATGTTCACTTATTGTTTGAATAAGGTCAAAGTAAATATAAAACATAAAGACAGAAATGAAACATTTTATGAAAATCCAAGCTTCACTTACCATTTAAATAAAGTAGAATTAGTGAACTAGAGTGGTTGTCGATGTAGGTATGACTGAAAAGAAGAATTACGCCCACCCACTTATACCCATCAGTGCTTTTTAGTGAGAGAGTGCTTTCTGAAAATGCAACAAAGAATACAAATGAAATCTTTTAGTATGATAACAAGAACTAATCGATTTCTATGCAACACACGTTGTAATCTATTTTTCTTGATTAATAATAGATTAGAGTAACAATTACTACTTCAGAAAGTTTCCCTGTTTAATGTCACTTTTTTTTCCTAGAATTCTGTGTACCATATGAAAAATTCAACAACGTATTGCACAAAACTAGTCGAAAAACACCAGTGAATTAATTTTTATCATATGCATACAGTCGAGCCTTCGTATATTTTTCTTCATATTTTTGAAGAACTTTTTATTCCCTCGACTTTAGGGGTCATTGAAAAAAGTGAAAACAATTTGTCTGTCTGTGACAAGGTAAAAAAACTATCAAAAATGAATTTTCTCATAAAGATTGAGGAAAATGAATCGAGGTCGAAGAATCCGAATCTAAAGTCGGTTTTTCAAAATTTCAAATTGTTATTTGTATGAAAAACTGCTTCTTATGGAAAAATCATACTTTTCGCTCTGAACTATTGCTTGAGGAAAAAAAAGGTCTTTGCAGAAAAAGTTAATTGAAAAAAGTAGACCTCAATACTTGGAAAATTCTTTTGCCAATTTGTATTCTTCGTTTTTGCTTTACTTTTTGTAGCCTTTTTATACTATCTTTGTAGATGTGGGTATTAGTGTGAATATGGATGCCTAGAAAGTACAAAAACACTTAGACCAAAACCCACATCCACACCCTGATTAATTCAACATGTAAAGTAATAGATTCTTAGAAGTCACAAGATAGTTATTTTTTAAATAAAATTGCTAAATTTCGTTTGTTCTTGAAGATAAAACGTATAATGAAATAATTTTAATGATTGTTGAATTATTGATTTGAACGTAATAGACTTTTATAGCCTAATGGAATTCAATTATTATTCATCTATAAAAATGAATTTTGTTGTGTAAAAGAATATGTAAGAATTGTTTTTCGTATAAATTCTTTTATTTTTTATCTTTGTTTTGGTTTATCAACAATAAGATAGAGAGATGAGTAACATTATTCACAACTAACTTGAACTATTAGATTCACAAAAGGCATCATTTATTTGATTTCTTTTAACAAATTAGTTTTAATCAAAACAAATAAAAAAATTTCTTTGTCTTTCAAATATCATTTTTCTACATATATATATATATATATTTAAAAATTGCAGTTTATTGTATATCTTTTATTGTTGTGTATATTATTAGGAATTTTTTGTTAATGAAAAGATATATTATTTTATTTTTAAATAACTTTTCCTTATCATCTTATGCTTTTTTAAAAGCGTTATAGAAAGAATAAATAAAATCAATAAGTAATCGAGTTTGTTAGTAAGAAAGAAAGTATGTTCTATGCAAAAGGAAGTTAAAATCAATCCGCAGATTTAAATCTCAATAAAACTAAAAATCGACTGGGTGGGTGTAGATGTAGATTAATAGAAGAACCACACCGACAGTCATCCATACTCACATGCTTACCTTCATACCCACAGCCTAGTAGCATGCTCTGTGCAGAACGAAAAAAATGTTTCTTTTACCAGCAGTGCTCACATTTTGTGCCTTTTGAACAAAGAATGGAGAAAAATAATATCTGACGACTGTAGAACAATAATTGATTATTAGAGGTTCCTTTTGCTTCTTTGTTTTAATTCAGTTTTATTTTAAAAGAAGAGGAACAATAAGAATCAAAGAATATAAGCAAAGAGAACGGATAACAGAACAGAAAGAAAACGGACAATACCAACTGAAGCAATTTAAGTGTATGTGAACAACATACCTATAACATTGATAAAATTTCTAAACCACTAAATGAAGTGATAAAAAATGGTGGTGAACAAATACATAAGATTTAAATAGGTTTTGTCGAATTATATTATTCTGTGTGTTTATAATTCAGAGCATGTCTTTTTTTTTTAAATAAAATCATTTACTCACTGATTTCGAAAAATTCATCATTACCTTGTTAAGTTCATATTTTTCTTATTATAAGGAAGGATGCTATTCAATTCTATCTCATTCGAAAGGCCATCTTGATTACTTGAAATTCATATCAAAACATAAAGGTTGGACATGGTTCTATATGTCAACATACACCAATTTTGTCACGTCCCAAAACTTATGAAACATCCTGTATGCTAAAGAAAAGTATCCTGAAGTTGATTTTCTGCAAGAATTTTGCAGAAAATATCTTCTTGATATTATCTATCTGTTTTAGTCAGAAAGAGCGATAATATGATTCAACTGCTCTCATTGCTACTACTAATCAATAAGTATGTGTGCATTGAAGAAGAAATCTTGAGAAATTCATCTTCTTAAATTTTGCTTACATATCGGTTTAAGGAGAGCGAGAATAAAATCTTTTTCATTAGAAATATGCTGAAAATCGATTTGATAGTAACGAGATCCGAATTATGAGAGGAAAAAGCTATTCATGTTTCATAATCATCAGTAGCTTTTGTAGTGTTACTTTGAGTCTAAAAACATTACAGACGATTGTTCATCGTAACAAAGTACGTGAAGTTTTTATTGTGAGTGAGTCGAACGAAAGGACTAAGCAAAAAAAATTGAAGAAAAAAGCATTCCGAAGAAAGATTTTAATTGAATAATGCTGAAAACAACTTGACAGAATATAAGTTTTTAGTTTAAATCGTTTAAGAAAAGTACAAATAGCAATAATTATGTGAACCAAATGATATTGAATAATAACATTCTCATTATTTAATTGAATTTTATAGTGAAGAACATCTTTCGCTAAGATTTTTTCATTATGGGAAAAGTTTTTGTGTCGCCGCTAGATTCTACATGACTGATGTTCTTCCTAATAAGATTTGATTTTCAAGTTTTTGAAGAAGTTCTAATGCGCGTTCTTTAAATTTATTACGTTGTGGTTCTGGTTGCTCTTCATCTGTATCTTCATCACTCGTAATTACACCTGAAAATAAGATTGTTATTGATTAATGAAAGAAAAGGAAATAGAGGAAAACAAACCTTGTATAGTCGGTGGAATCGATTCATTACGTATATATATATATTCACCATTCTGTTTTTCTTCTACAGAGGGTACAGTAAAATAGATAAGATCTGACTGATACGTTTCTGTTCCATCTTTCAAAACATATTAATTGAAAGATATTAGTCATAAAAATAAGAAAAGCTAGCAACTTACTCTTAAGTTTTGCTTTGATTCTAATTTTATGCTTTGTACCACATTCAAAATTATTATGTATACAAAGTGTCATTTTATCTGTTATTGCTTCTTGATTTATCTAAAGGACATATAATATAATAGTACATTATTATATTGCATGAATACTTTTCCCACTATGTTCTTATGAAATATCTACATTGTCGAATTTTTTTCGTCTTATTTTCCTATATATATATTAAAGTATGTTATTGCAATAGCTTTCTACAAGCGAGATCCTGCGCGTACTACACGGATGCTTTTTTCTGTAAAGTTTCACACTGTCCTTCATTCTTGATTCAGTAATGGACAAGCAGCCAATTCGTATTGTGTGTATAGAGAGATCATATAGCCTCATACCATCGTAGTCTTATTCCATTATTCCTTTATATCCCAGGCAGCCTCATGTACTTGTCTCCTATACCCTTATCTCCTTATACTCTTTTAGTTTTATCCATTATGCCCCTGTAGCTGTAATCTCTGATCCCTTTTATCCTATTATCCTTATCTCCTTGCCTCTACTCGCGTATAGTCTTTTAGCTCTTGTGGACCTATGGGTACCCCCATATGGGGTATAGCCATGTAACAGTCCTTGAGGACCTGTGGGTATCCGTATATAACAGACATTGTGGCCGCTTTAGTATCCTAACGTAGGAGACCTTGTAGCTTCCCCTGATAGCCTTATTTGTCATTTAACCTTTGACCTGGACAACGAAACACGCACAAACACTGAACATTATACATATAGATTTTGTTTGTGCATTAAGGGGATCCCTCGCTTAGAAAACCCAATTTTTCGAAAAAACATCGACGTTGAGTTTTTATTCTAGGAAGACGAATCGCAGCTTCCTCTTTCAGAGTATACGTATAGTTTTTTTGTAAAATGACGAGATTTTTACAGACTTATCAGAGGGAACTTCGACCCTGCCAACATCTTTTCGGAGAGATTATCGTGGTTTTCGAAGGGTCCTCAAAAATCGATCTCAGCCCAGGAAAGTTCAAATGGCATGAAATTTTCAGAATATATTGAGACTATAGCGAAGAAGCTACGGTAAAATTTTGAGCCCAATATCATAATATTTGGGGAAGATATATGATTTTTTTCTGAATTTGAATGAAAAAACCCATCTCCATAACTTCTTGAGCATTTTTTCTCAGAACATAGTTTTCAATCAGAAAGATTGGAATTCCTCCTTTATTTCTCGAGCTATAATTAATATTTTTTTTATTTTAAAGGTCTTAATGAGAGTAAATTTTTGTCCGAAGGAACTTTTTATAGTCTGTTCCTAGGCTGAGAAAAGTAGCGTTTACTGTCATTGAAGCACCATTTTTATTCTAGTTTCAAAACTCTTCTACTAAAACGATCATAAAAATGAACAATAAGGAATATAAAAATTCTGTTCAGATAAAAGTTGTGTACTGACATTAGGTTTAATTTGAAACCAGCCCGAGCTCTCTATCTTATGTTATGAGAAAGTTATATCAATTTTCCTGAAGACGAAAACTGATCTATGAATCGGCTGGAAATCTGGTCTTGTATGACCAATTGAGCTGAAATTTTTACCAGTAGCGTTTCTCTTCAGGATTACTCATTCTTGAAAATTTCAGCACAAAAGAACCATTCTAAATGAAAATCATTACTGAGAGGGGCATTCTCTTAATCAACTATACTTCTAATCGTATTTTTTTGAATTTGAAGCTATCTCACATAACGAAAATCAGTATTTCATAGGATGCTAATATCTTATATTAATATGTTCTCTAAAACAATATAAAATATGACAACAATAGGAAATTCGACAATTTGTCGACTAGAAGAATAAATTGATTGCTTGAGTTGTTTCTGTTTGAAGAGAGAATTTTACAAACATCAAGATGATGTTTTTCCGAGTGGCTGTTGTGTATTAATTCTCTATCATTGTTTTTCTTTTTATCTGAAAATTTTAAAGAAATCTTCTCAAGCTTTTAATTACTGCCACTACTAAGCGGGGAAAAAAGGAAGCAACATTTAATTCAATCATTATCCGACGATCTGAAAGTTAATTGAATCTTCTGCTTACGAGAGTGAATCAAGAAAAACTATCCTTGTAGAACTCTTTAAAATACAAAAAAAAACAAAATAAGCAAACAAATTTACATATTGGATCTCTTTATTATCTAAGCAGACAACATATTGTTGAGCATAACGATCATCGATATGATACCATACAATAATCACATTATAATTTGTTTTTTTTGCCGCGTAGGAAAAACTTATAATTGGACTTAGCGAAAAAATTTGACCAGTAAAGAAAAAGTACTAAAAATAAATATGTAGTAGCTTTGATATTAAACAAGACATACACGAGATTCCGAGTATTTCCTGATGTCTATCCAATCTTTATTGTAAGGAATTGCTTGAATTCGGATTTGTATTGGATTTTCTACTTTGGTTCTATCGAAGCCTGACACTGATATCTGTCGATAAGAACTATTAAATTCACCACGATGACATCCATTAATGATTAACTATTATAAAAGAAAATAAACATATTTATTATATATACATATATTGTTTTATCATCTTAATTATAATTCTTTTTTTTTTTTATATACCAGATATTTACAAAAAACTTTTCAATGAGTTTCCGAGCTGATTCAGGTTCAATGTTGATATTTGCATAAATTTTATTATCAGGAAATTCTTTAGCTTCACGTTGGAAATCAATACGAAAAATTTTCCATAGTTTTGCATCTTCCTATATTCAAATAGAAAAATAATTGTCAATAAAAAAGTATTTTTCGTATCTCACAATTTCATGCGATTTGTCAGAAGATGTACTATAAAAAAAAAAAGAAGATTTTTATGAACAGTACATATATAATCAAGATAATTCATACGATGTTTGTACTGTAGTACTCATTATTGAATTCTTAAATTTAGATAAGTTTATAAATTTGATAAACAAGACAAAAAATATTTTCACATAAGCTTTATGAGAGATTTTGTTTCTTCTCTTCTTAGCCAACCGAAATGATCTGTTGTTTTTTTTAATTCTTTTGCTTTAAAAAAGCACTTCTGTGGTCGATGAATGTTGCCATGAATATAAAAAGAAAAATTTTTCTTTCCTTCTGTTTCTTTAGTTACAAACATTGTGTATAATGTCTCTTACAAATAAATTTGACATCGAGAATTTCACCAAAGATAAAGCAACTTGTTCAACACTATAAAAACTTGATAAAATAAATAATCCTTCAAAATTCTGCTGTATCAAAAAATGAGTAAATCTCGTTCATTTACCGATCATCAAGTATGAATGAATGAATATTCTTTTTTGTTTAATAAAAAAATCAAATTTTATTTATCTTTATTAGTTAAGAGATGAACTTTCTCCAAGAGGTGCTATTGAGCAATTAAATATTCTTAGGCGAGTTTGCCATAAATTTACTCCAAAACGAGACAAGTATTGATTTTACTGAATATTTCAATAATTAAAATATACATATCGTTTTAGGCATAATAAAGATGATATATGTATATGTGAACGACGGAAAGAAGAACATGAAGATTACGAAGAATCGGAGGATCGTTGGACTATGAATCATAATACTCGAGAAGTAATTAGTTCTGATTTTGATAGATTTCCACATGGTGGAATGGTAAAAAAGAAAATTGATTTATTTTCAAATAGTTTAGTTTAATTAATTTAGTATGTTCGATTAGCTTTGGATACACCTTTAGAAAAAGTTGAAAAAATTCTTCTTGATGCTTGGAAAATTCACCAACCTTTATTTATTGCAACAATTGTTGGCGGTGCAAAATATTTCAAAATGAATGATAAACTTGAAACAAATTTTATAAATGGTATCGTTGATATAATTAGTAAATCAAGTGTGTAATGAAAAATTCTATTACTATGATACCTAATAATTCTATTTTGTTTTTGAGATGCATGGTTACTCTCATCTGGATATAATATTGGCATTGTTCAACTTGTTGGACACGCGATTCACAAATTTAAATTAACTAATTCCAAAAAAGCTAGTTTTACTGCTATTGCTGTTTGTAAATGGGGCTGTATAAAAGACGTGGAAACAATAACAAGTCAAGATGATCAAGAAACACAAAAGGTTTAGCTTCAAAAAGAGAAAATTTTTAATAATACATACTTATTATGAACTTTATAGGAAACTACCAATGTACCGAATAGTAGTAAAAATGATGAATTAGGAGAACGCCAACGAGGTCAATGGGATCTTGAAATGAATCACAGTCATTATCTCATGTTAGATGATGGCAGTATTCGTAACTATGAAATAGGAGATTATCGAACACGTCTAGTTACTCATATGGCAAGACTGAATAAGGAACATGATATTTTCGGTATGTAGCTTTTTTTTATTCCGTGAAGTTTTACAAAGAATTTATAATGCTGTTAGTCATTGATATGTAATCAGATAGCTCTTTTATTTATATTTAAAAGAAAAGGCAAAGAAGCTTTGATTCTCAAAAGAAAAAAAAATTCCAAAATAGGCCTTGAAAAATTTTATGTTTCATCGTATTATAAAATATGTCTCATTATTGCTTTATCGGCATTGAGTTTTGAAGTGTTCTTATGGAAGCAGAATTTAGCGACAATAACTCTAATAGTAGTTGAAATCATGCAATGATGCGATACTTTCATTTTACTGATTATCAAAGTTTTTCTTTGTGACAGTAATTGAGGGCTTTCGTATAATATATCACTATAGATATCTGTTCAAAATCTATTCAACGAATGCTAAAATAAACATATGCAGAATGTTTATACTGTAAAGTTCACAATATACGGACATAAACTGAAATAAATATAGAAATAAACACACATAATCTCATATTTTATTTTATGATACAAGAAAAAACGTCAACTTTTTTATACGATCCATTTCACTTAAGCCACAACGTATGTTACTAAATCAATTTTTTCGAATTTATGATTTTAAATACATATTTCAAAAGTGTACCAACTAGTGAATTTTCTGCCACTAAGCGCACTCCGATAGCTCAAATCATCATTGAGAAATTCAATTCTTAATTTCAGGTCGATCTTCTTCAAATGAAGATGCTGATCTACGCCGTGTCTACTAAGAAGTCTGCCATTTTTGATTGAGGTGGCATAGAATGATGAAAATTTCAGGATAGACAGAAATTGAGTAGCCGTACAAAATAAAACAATCTCGAGCTCTACATGTTGCTTTATGGATGAGTCATAGATATCGCTAGTAGCTGAATTTCAGCAATCGATATCTATTGCGTAAACTAAATCGGCGAATCTGAAACTTATAAATTATATACTAGGTCGATGTGACTATATATAACGATGAAAAGAAAACTTTGGGTAGTAAAACAAAGTCTAAGATATGAATTTTCTACCAAAATTCACTGCATTTTGGCCTATTTTTTTACATATTTTCGCCCCTATTTTTCAGATGAAAACTAAAAATGGACATCATATTCGGAATCAGCATCAAAAACTGAGTCTGACCATGTATGTTTCATAGAAAAAAAATTCCTATCGAAAAACTGACCTGAGGGAAACCACAAGCGAAAATTTTATAAAACGCACCTGAGGGGTACTAGAGGTAACTTTTTGGTAAAATTTTTTTTCTATGAAACATACATGGTCAGACTCAGTTTTTGATGCTGATTCCGAATATGATGTCCATTTTTAGTTTTCATTTGAAAAATAGGACGAAAATATGTAAAAAATAGTCCAAAATGCAGTAAATTTTGGTAGAAAATTCATATCTCGGACTTTGTTTTACTACCCAAAGTTTTCTTTTCATCGTTATATATAGTGTCACATCGACCTAGTGTATAACTTATAAGTTTCAGATTCACCGATTTAGTTTACGCAATAGATATCGATTGCTGAAATTCAGCTACTAGCGATATCTATGACTCATCCATAAAGCAACATGTAGAGCTCGGGGTTGTTTTATTTTGTAAGGCTACTCAATTTGTATCTATCCTGAAATTTTCATCATTCTATGCTACCTCAATCAAAAATGGCAGACTTCTTAGTAGACACAAAACAATGCACTATGTATACTGAAGCATTCATTAGTCAGAAACTCTTCGGCCAATATAATTCACTTTTTACTTCTGCGTTATAGCGTGAAGATACATAACACTGTCCGAAGAGCCGCGCTCAACATAAATTGAACACATCTTAAGGGCCCCTCTCCCTCAGAAAACCAAGTTTTTCGAAGAGATATTGAATTTGAGGTTTCATCATAGAAAGATGTACCGAAGTCTGTTCTTTCAGAATACCTAAAGCTTATCGCAAAATGAATTGATTTTGATGAACTTATCGTCTAAAATTTGGTTTCTACTGCCATATTTTTCGAGAAATTTTCATGGTATTTTTTTTACAATTTTTTTTTCGGTGTTCTTAGGCTACTTTCTTTCTAAATCAGCATTTCGTAAGGGTTTTTTGTATTAATCACTGGGAGACTACTAAAACTTATTATTAAGATCTATATTTATGGCCTGTTTTGAACATTGATATGTGATTCAGGTGTATTTCGCTAAAATCGATTTTTCAAACTTCTTTAGCCTTTTTCTCAAAATCAGTTTTTTCGAGTATAATATTTAAGCGAGCAACTCTTGCTCGATAACGACTCAATATAGAACTGATACAATCTTTTTTGTGTTGCATAAAGGACAGTTACGGCTAGATCCTCAAAGAGTCCGATTTTTGAATTTCTCCATTGATGAAATAAAAAGCCTATACATCTCATTTTAATCCGCGATTTTTTTTTCAACAATGAGTTCGAGAATTCATCGGTGAGGATTTTTTGTAGAACTCACGTACATTTTCGAAGAAAATAGTGAGTGTAAGTTTTAAGTTCAAGTTTTGGCGGGTTTTCTCTCCCCATTACAGACCTCAGCAACCGTACACAAATAAAAGACTTCAGCTTAATTTATTTAACAACAGAAAAAGAGTTGAACATTATGAAGAATATGAGTTTGACTACTATACAATATTTCGATGTTTTCATGATTATTTGAAAAAACTAATAAACGCTTAATTAAATTTTCAATAGTATAATTGTTGCCTTTTTTAAGAATTTAAGCTTGTATGATAAAAATCAAGGATGAACATTAATGATAAGTATTAATACGTCGTACCGGTGGTATAATCAATACAAGAAATATGATTCGACCTTTTTATTAGCGTTAGAAGTAAATAATATCACTATTTATGAATTAATTGAGATATACAATAGTGTCGTAAGAATGACTGATGCATATGAATTGCATTATTGTAACACTCGGATTTAATGAAACAATCGATGGTGAAAAAAAACTTCAAATAAAAAAAAATGATTATTATCCAGTAGATAGCAACAATAATAAAAAAAGTCGGACACGCTCAAATAAAGAAGACATTCAGTTTTAAATGTTGAAATATATGATAACTTCTTGTTCTTGTTAGCGATGAGTTATGAAAACTATTTCAGTCAACAGAAATTTTTCAGTCTACAGATGACATATTAGAATAACAAATCTGAAGGATATACGTCAGTTTCACATTTCAGCTCCATTGGAGCTGCACTAACTAGCATTTTGTAGAACAAATAAAGGGAATTTCAAAAATCGAACTTTATTGAGATATAGCGCCAATGGTACTCTACAACTTAAAAACAGCCTTGCTATGTTAGCTCATGTCCTGATTGCGAAAAACTTGCCTGTGTACAGGTCACTTTTCACTAATAAATAGATTATAACTCGTGAATAACTAGCAGATGTTAGAAGATATTTTAAGCCAGAGATGTGCGGCAAAAAATAAGACGGGCAGAAGCTGTAAGGAGTTATTTTTTAGTGAAGTTGTTGAACATTGTTTTTCCATTTTACGATCTATTTCTTCAATAATATATAGTATTTTGACTAGGAATAACTGAAGGCTTTCTAAAAGTAGAAGCGAGTGCACCCTGCACCCCTCCTGGAAGTATATGAGCGGCACATCCCTGTTTTAACCACGATTTACTCTAGTCAGGCCTAACATTCTCTGAAATTTTGGTTGAATTCTATCGAAAAATAAAAAAGTTCGTTTTTGAAGATGTCGCTCCTCTTAAATTCTTCATCTGTAATACCGCTATAGTGATGTTCCTAGAGAATGTACTGAGTCAAGGATACCCAAAAAAGTACCCTGTTATCAGTATGTCACAGGAACTTTTGGGTACCAAAGTACTTGTAGGTACTTTCAGGTACCTAAGTAGTACTTTGTAAACTACCCTGCTACAAAATGTGTAGTAATTGAGTACTTGAAGGTACTGATCAGATACTCAATTGGGTACTATTGTATAGTATTTCTAGGTACCCTGTTACTAAAATTTCAGTATGTTCAGGATCGAACCTGACCTTTGACTTTTTTAATTTTTGTCTCTCTCGAAGTAATTTACTACATTTTTTTCGAGTTTATGCAATTTAATTTTTTCAATTCCGAAAACTTAGCAGGTACAATTCCGGGATCTGACCCGATTTGAGTTGGTCTGGCATCCATCGAACCACTTCAGGGTAGTCCGCTCTTAATCTACGATTAAGATCGACATGTTCTGGACTAAGAAATTGTCAAGAAATAATCTAGAAAAAATGAATATGATAATAGATTATTTTCTTATATTTTGCCCAATTGTTTATATGGAGCCGTGCGTGAAAAAGAAAATGGTGAATGAGTAGTCGCTACACAGAACGCGATAAATGTAGGGTACTCTCTAGAGCTCTCCTCAGTAAAATTACAGATGCAAGTACCCATACAAGTACTTGTGCAGTAAGCGTACTTTTATTGGCACCCCAAGCAGTACTCACATCAGTATAATTACTGAGAATTTTCGAAGTATCCATATTGGGTACCCTGGTAACGCTTTCTCAGTACATGGGTACCCTGAACTCAGTACTTTCTCTAGGGATAACTACTATATACTACGTGGAATATTTTACTGCTTCTAATTGATTAGTTTTGGAATTTGCCGCAAATTTAAAATCTCCATCTACTTAAAATCAATCCTTAAAATAGTCTGACATTCTTTGATTTGTAACGATACACAATAATTCTTTTTTTACAGTAGTGAATAGTGAAGATTATTTGAATTTTTGATTGAGTTAAATAACTCTGTGATGAAAGTACTATTGACCGAATATGATTACATAATACAAATTAATAACGGCTTCTGACGTTTGACATTGATCAAATTGTGTATTTCAAGTTCAATGAATAATAATAAGAAGCTAACACACTGTTAAAGAATAGCAATTCAAAAAGAAAGTACAATAAAGAGAGAAGAACAAACAATTTTCGAGCGCATAACAAAGCTGAGAGACACAAAGCAAATAATACACGAAAAAAGTCATATCAGAATGTACAGATGAAGGTGATAAAATCTTTTTTTTTCTAAAGATCAATAAGTATTGAAGAATGATTCATATTGATTGAAATCTCATCATACTACATACAGATTTTCTATTAATATAATTTAGTTGAACAAGAACTATGAATTAAATATTTTGTGTGATTAAGAGCTAGCTACACTAAAAAGTTTTGTTTTTACTAACGTCAACAATGATATAGTCCTCAAAGTAATCGATTGCTTGTACGGGATATTTAAATGATTTCAATGTCAAAAAAAAAATGTTTAATAAACTTGCTATTATGGATACAATATTGATGATTTATTTCTAACATCTAGTACCCGTAGTTACGATTGTGGTTGAAGGTGGTCAAGATACTGTAAACAATACATATTATGATTTAAGAGCAAATATTCCTGTTATTATAGTTGATGTAAGAAAATCGAATTCAATATTTATGCTTTTTAAATAATTTCTTAATATCAAAACAAAAAAAAAATTAGGGTACAGGTCGTGCTGCTGACTTTTTTACTCGTTGGTTATTTTTGACAAAAGACTTAGAAAATGATGTTGAAAATAAAGACATTATTTGTGAAATTGAAGAATTAGGTATTGAAAACAACACTTTATCATGTTTGACCTCACAAAATACAGATTTAAATCAAAATAAAAATTTCCAAACCAAATCAAGGTAAGTTTATTTTGTTTTCGATTTTTATTTCTCTTAGAATTTTCTATGTAATTTATTGTCAAAATTCGTAGTGACAGACATATTAATATAGAAAATAAAAAGTAAATATAGAAAAATAACTATTTAAATTTAGTTTATTTATCTAATTTTTCTTCATTTTTAAGACTTTCAAGGATGTTTGAAACTAATAAGTACAAAGAGCGATTAGAAAAAGACATAAAAAATACGTTTTTTCGGAAAGCAAGTTCAGCAGGATCTCAAAATATAAATCAAAATGATCAAGAAAATGACAAAAGCAAACAAATTGATGAATTAATGAATCGAATTATGTATTGTCTACAACCAGCAATTCGTTCTCGTTTAACTGTATTTTCCTTAAATTCAGGTGTTAATTTAACAGAGACAATTTTTCGAAGTATTTGTCGCTGTAAGTAAATAAATTTCAAATAGATTTGGCTTTTTTTTTTATAATTTTCGATTTGAAATGCTTTTTTTTCTTAGCACGTCAAACAATAGCAAAAATGAAACTTTATTCAAGCAATATTAAAGTTAAAACTAAACGAGAAGATATGCCAGATGATGAGAGACATAATATGGATGAGACAATAGATCGTCATGATATTTTAAAAAAAGAACAAAAGATAGAACGAAAAAGACTACTTACGTTAGCAATGAATTGGAATTGTATTCATATAGCAAAAGAATTTATTTTTCAAAATTCATTAGATAATATAATGGTATTCATATTTTTTTTTTAATGTTAATATCTATTTATTATTTGTTTGTGTTTTTAGAATAAAAAACGATTTTTTATAGACGCTTTAATAAACAATTTACCAACATTTGTCTATGAATTTCTTAAATTAGGCATTGATCCAGCAGCTGATGTATTCTTTTCAAAAAGTGAAGTGTCAAAAAGAAGATCTCGTTATGCATACTTTATTGAAACTCTTTATCAACCTCATGTAATGGTATGAAATTTATTTAGACAAAAAAAAACAAATTGTTTTTTTTTTATCTTCATTTATTAAACACAATATACGATTTTCTTTTTTAGAATAAAGCTAAAACTCATTTAAAAGATTTTATCGACTCTGATAGATTTACAAGTGATAAATTCATTAATAATATTGAAAAACTAAATGTGGTTCTTACTAAACTTATTGGTGATTATATGCGTGATCTTTATTTTGAAACAGAAGAAGCTGAACATGAAGATCGAGTAAAATGGGGATTGACACAAAATTTTTCTGAAACAGATCAATATGAACATAAAGATATTGAAAATAATCAACTTATATCAGTTATATCGAAACAACAAAAACAATATGATTATATAATCCGTGATTTATTTTTATGGGCTATATTAATGAATTATGTTGATATGGCTAAAGTTTTTCTATGCTATCTAAAATATCGAATATGTCCAGCATTGATTGCAACAAAAATTTTAAAACAATATTATTTAGTAGCTAATTATGGAGACTTAAAAGAACGTTATATGGAAAGTGCAAACTACTTTGAACAATATGCTATTGATTGTCTAGATAAATGTGATGATTATGATGCAGCTCAAGCATGTGAAATTATTTTACAACAAAATGAACTTTATGGATATGTTACTTGTCTTCAAGTATGTTTTCATAATTTCTTCTAAATAATTAGACAAAAAAAAAATATATTTCATATTTATTAAAGGTTGCAGCTGATGCTAATGATAAATTATTTATTGCAACACCATGTTGTGTGGAAGCTATAAATAATATATGGTATGATAAACTTCATCCAGAACAAACAAGTTTACGTAATCGATTCTATTTATTTTGTGCCATTATTTCACTTGGTCTTTTGGCTCCTCCTTTACTTGAATATCGAGTAAAAAATAAGGTTAGAATTAATCTTTATTAAAATTAAATTTTTCATATTTAACAATATTTAAAATATATTCGACAGTATGAGAATACTTACATAGTTATTTCTTTTTTATGAAGCATTCTATTCATAATAATCTTTGTTTCTTTTTTTTACAGAATGCAATATAAATGAAGCTAGTTTTTCATATGTATTGGTTGTAAGATACTGTATTTTCATTAGTTTCGATACAATTAAATATAAGAAAATTTTAATTCTTTGAGAATGGCGTTGCAGTTGGAAAAAGCAAAATCTTTTTTGAAACTTTATATCAATGTATGTAAATACGTACGTATATACGCATATTGTGTGGCTGAAGTTGGAATTCAGCCTGATGTAATTCTAACTTCGACTGGACAAAATTAGAATTATTGTTCAGTGACTAGAAACTCATACAGAAAAAAAGAGAATTAAAAAATTAGTTTTTTAAATTTAACAAAAATAAATTAACAAATATCACCAATTCGAAGTTAATTAACTCCTCCAAAATTAGAATGCCACCCTAAAACAAAAGGCTACACTCATCCTAATGTTTCGCTCGACATAAAAGAAGAAAACGGGTTTTTCATAAATCCGGGATAATTTTGAGGTTTTCCTATTTAAAAGAATGGTTTTTGAGGGAAAAGCTAAGTGTTCATTATAAAAAACACTATTTTCTCTCAGATTCAGCGGATTTTACCGCACTTAAGTATGAAATTGGTCCGTTTGGAGGTTAGAAGCGTATCCTAAAATACTTGATTTTACAAGCTTTTGAAAGAAAAGTAAGTCCATATTAGAAGGTAACCGTCGGAAGAACGATATAAATTTCCATAATCGAAGACCATGCTTTCTTATATTGGGGGGAGGCAAGGGGTTACTAGATGTTAGAACAGATACCTTTCTTTGAGTGACATTTGGTAGAACAACATGCATTAGCTCTTTTCACACTCTCACCGTCATACACAAATTCATCAATATTTTTTATACATCTTTTACCGCTTAATATTCATTAAAACATAATCCTAATTTTGTCTAGTCGAAATTAGAATTCTATTCTCGTCCATAATCAGTTTAGTCGAACTTAGAATTTCACTTTAGTCCAGCTGAAGTTAGAATTCCAATTTCGTCTGGACGAATTCCGAATCAGGCTGTATTCCAACTTCGGTCATAACATATATATGAACGATGGATACAACAAGTATTTATTAGAAGATATAGAACTCTTAAGAAAATGGCAGAGACACTAACGGCCTTAGCGCAATGTTTAGAAGTCCAAAACTGACACGATCGATTTGAAGATAAATTTCACGAATTGTTCAGAAACTTAATCTCGGGTAAAATCCATTGAATTTTCTAGTTTGACACAGTTACAATCTACTTATTCATAGTAGGACTTTTTAAAAAAACGTAGACACCCAATAATAGCATAGTTCGGATCAAAATTCTTTTTCATATGCATTATTTTCTTGCATAATATTCATATTTAATTGAATTCAAACTTTTATAATTCGATTAGCATTTGTATTTTTGTCTCTCGGAAGAACGTTTAGCATCCGTGGTATGAATTTTTGTGCTACATCCATTAAAAGAATTTAAAGTTTAACATACTATGTTTTTTTATATGTCTTATACGTATATACGTTCTTCTATAGTTTTCTGCTCTACTGTGAACAATACAATAGCCCATAACTGACGGTGTTCGCCACCGATCGAGTGAAAGATCACAGTTCAAGCTTCCTCTTTTCCTAAATTATCACTCATTGATAATAATCAGTAATATCTCAAGTTTGATCTATGTGACAATTAGACATTGCTGAAATCAACAGAACTTTAAAAAAAAAGGAAGCAGTATATTTTTTCATGGATGACATATGGTCTGAAAACCGATTTGATAGGCCAATAAGTCTCTTTGTGATTTTGTGACGCTACTCTATTTATTAGGATTTCATTTGCCTTATTCCTTCATGCACAATAGATTCATCGCTATTATTTTCTCCGTTTCACGATTTTTGACTTATTCAATATGCAGTTTCGATTGTCTTGTTATCAATATTTTTTTGGTTTTAAATATCTCAATGAGAATAAAATTTTGTCCGAGCGGATTTTTTTAAAATTAGTTCCTGAGCTGAGAAAAGTGAAATTTACTGTCGCTGGACTACCATTTTTTATGCAAATTTAAGAGCCTTTTATTAAAATGCTTACAAAAAATAAACAAGGTAGATATTAAAATTCTGTTCGGATAAAGTTGCGTCTTGACATGATCTTTAATTTGAAAATGGTCCGATCTCTCTACCTCTATCTTAAGACGAAGTTTTATCGATTCTCCTGAAGGCCAAAAATGATCCATAAATCAGCTCGACATCCGATCTCGTAGGATCCATCGAGCTGAAATCTTTACTGGAAGTGCATCTCTCCAAGATCATTCATCCCTAAAAATTTCATCATGAAAGAACCGTTCAAAGTGGAAAATCGTTTCTGCGATAGGAGGCTCCCTTAAACCTTTGGTCACCGACATAAGAGAAAGAAGAAACGATTTTGCAGGAAATTTATTTGTCTTTTATCGAATGATTCTATAGTTTATCTTAGTAAAATAGTGAGTTGACGAGCCTACGATGCCTAGCATTTGTTCTTATGTAAATGCATCTAAAAGATATACATTATGAATAGCTTTTTTAGTGCATGCAAAGATTTGGCTTCTGACGCATATATGTGTCGGCGACAGTCAAAGGGTTAAGCATATCTATATACTTTCCATCTCCAAGAAGTTAATAATAATATTCAATTGATATTGATAAATAATGCTTACGTAATCAAATCATTAATCAGTATTTATGTAGCTTGAGAATAATTATTTGATGATATTGTTAATGCATTTTCTATAATTGTCTTTAACTTGTTTAGAATTGGAATGACAAAGGTTCTAAAGCACCAAAGTAAGTTAATAAGGTTGTAAATTGATGCAAAACTGATAAACATAAGTACTTCTCATTTAGATTAAGAGATCATAGTATCAACTATAGTGATTCGGTTCTACTTGAGGATCATCCTAATTATTCTAACCCGAATCCAGAGGAGACACACGCTGTTTATTTTCGTAAATTACGAAGATTTCATGAATCACTGCCAATGAAATTTACTTATCATGTAGTATGTACACATATAATGATAAGATACATTGAAGAATATTAATCAATTGATTTTAGATATCTTATATATTTTTTCTATTACTCTTCTCCTATGTTCTTCTCTTCAAATTTTCACCACCATCGGATAAAATTCC